CGACCCCATCGAACCCTGAACCCGTTGAATAAGGTACGATATCCCACCCTAATCTACAACGAGTGGAAATACAGTCGTACACATAGTCTATCATAAATATTCAAAAAAAAAACAACCAAAAACACCGAGTACACGAAGCAAGAATAAACCCCACTCAGCCGCCCGCCGCCAGGAAACTCAACAAACTCCCCAGCGTCAGCCCAGCGACGAGCATCAACCCCATGAACGCGCCGGCGGGCTCGCGCTCCTCGGGCGGGACCAGCCCGGCGCCCATCATACAGTTACTGCCGAGGAAGCCATTGGAGACGCCGAACAGCAGCTGCACGACGACCAGATAGAAGACATCACTGGGGACGACGGCGCCGCGGCCGCCGATGTTGCACAGCTGGTAGAGCGGGATGAAGGCGGCGCGGGCGCAGGCGAAGCCCAGCAGCGCCGCGGGGCCCCAGGGCCGGTGCACCAGCGACAGCGGCGGCCACAGCACCAGCATCCGGCCGAGGAGGTCGCCGGCGTTCCAGAAGAGGAAGGCCAGCGGGATGAAGACGGGGGCGGCGAAGAGGCGCGAGGACGACGGCCCGTGCTGGTTCACGGATTCGATCTGCGCCGTGAAGACCGGGAAGGTCATCGTGACGGTGAAGCAGAGGATCATGGCCAGCGCGGTGGGCCGGAGGCGCTGGAAGAGGGTCCACAGGCTGATGGTTCGGGTTTTCGGGTTGGGGTCGGAGGAGTCGTCGTCTGAGGTATTGTCGTCGGTTTCGTTGGTGGTGGTGGTGGTGGTGGTGCTGAGGCTAGGGATGTGGGAGCGGCGATTGACGAGGGAGGTAAAGGCGATCAGCGCGAGGGAAGAGACCGCGGTTGCGGTGATGAAGTACGCGAAGGCCGATTTGGAGGATTCCTGCGGGGGCGTAGCGGGGTGGTTTTGGTCGTTAGCGGTATCGCCTCCCCCTCCCCCTCCCCCTCCTCGGTTGGGGGCGACGGAGAGGACGGAGATGATCTGGACGATACAGGGAAGTACGCCGGCCACGCCCTGGCCGCTCATGATGGCCTGCGTGTACTCCTCGCGTCCGAAGCCGGCAACGTACGCGTAGACGCCATTCTGGTTGATGCCCGTGGCGAGGCTGGCTCCGAAGACCATGAACATCAAGAAGCCGAAGTAGGTAGCCACGGAGACATCTTTCATCAAGATGGTCGAGAAGGCTAGGAGGGTGAAGACCACGATGTTGATCAGCAGCGAGACGACCGTCCGCTTGGGGTAGGAGGCGCCCTTCTGGAGCTTGGCGAGGATGAAGGACGACCCCAGGTTCGTGACCGTCGACACGGTCAGGATCGAGGGCTGATAATGAGTCGCTGCCCAGTCGTCCGTCCGAAAGCGATGATGGAAGTATGGAGCGGCTGCGAGGAACATGTTCCTACAGTCATCGCGGCACGCTGATTAGCCAGCGGGCGCTATATAGTTGGTGGACGAGAAGGAGAAGCATTAAATTGGTCACTCGGGGCTCAGAATGAACATACCATGCCCATAGCATAGAGACCCCCAAGAGGAGGAATACCGCATACTCATACGCGGAGAAAGGGGCCTGCTGCGGCGCCGTCGACGCCGCATCCCCGACCTCGGACTCGTTATCCTCGTTATCCGACTCCGCAGGCTGCTGGATTGCCTCATACGTCACTTGCGGAGCAAACTGTTTGCGGATACGGTTCATTGTTGTGGTTGTAGAAGGGTCCCTTGGTGGAGAGCTAAGAGAGACTCGGCGAGGAGGAAGATCAATCCATAGTATGGACTGTAGGTCGTGAAATGAGGACAAGACGAGGTCACGATGCGAGAGATCAGCAGTGAAGGTGGTCATGAGGGCGTGTTGGACAGTTGCAGTGCCAAGACTGGCTGACTGACTGGTCACGTTCGGGTGACTAAGGCAGGCAGGAAATGTACATTTATGAGAGGTTGACTAAATAGCTCTGGAGATGAGGAGAGTTGGGTATTTCTTCTATACGATCGATCGCTCTATCCAGTCATCCAGGAACAATTATAGCAAATACAAAAACCACAGAAATATTACATACATCGTCAGGCGCTCCATCGTCTAGGAACAAGAGTATATATGAGTGAGCCACTTCCCGACAAAAAAGCAAGCCCGGTGGTCTACGCGGCTCGAGAACGTCAAACATGTAAATATAGAACTGAAGAATGCCTGCAAGGGTCTGCTCAGTGACTCCGTCTATTGCTTTTGCTGAGCAGATTCCTCACGAGGCTCTTCAGCTTCAGCTTCATCTTCAACATTCTCATTCTCCAACTGCCACAACTTCTCCTCTGTCTCAGGAGTGACCGGTGCCCGAGGAGGAGTCGCATCGCCGCCACTCAATTGCCATTCCATCAATTTAGTAAATGCTCCATCAGGACGAGAACTGAGCTCCTCATAGCTGCCTTGCTCAGCCACCTTGCCATCAGGAGCAAGCACGATGATTGTGTCCGATCGCTTGATAGTAGAAAGCCGGTGGGCGATGCTGATAGTCGTGTTGTTGCCGCGGAGCAAGGCAGCAAGGGCACTGTTAACAAGGGTCTCAGACTCAGCGTCGAGCGCAGAAGTCGCCTCGTCCAGAATCAGAATATCAGGATCCTTAATCAGAGCGCGAGCAATGGCAATGCGTTGCTTCTGGCCACCAGAGAGTTGAGCTCCGCGAGGTCCAACCTGAGTGTCAAGGCCATCCGGCTACCGAATATGTGTCAGCTGTGAATGCTTTCCGAATCATTTCAACCACTTACAAAGTCACTGATGAATTGGCAGTTCGCCTTCCTGGCAGCCGCGATGATTTCTGACCGGGTTGCGTGGGGACTTCCATAGGAGATATTTTCGGCAATTGTTCCAGAAAACAAGACAGGCTCCTGTGCAACTACACCTATCTTCCTGCGGAGAGACTTGGCATTCATCTCACTGATGTCCTTGCCACCGACCAGAACGCGGCCTGCAGTGGGGTTGTAGAATCTTAGCAAGATAGAGCCGATGGTAGACTTTCCTCCGCCTGATGGTCCGACAATGGCGACATTTGTACCCTGAGGAATCTCGAAGTTGAGATCGCGGAAGATAGGAACCGCAGGGCGGGTAGGGTAACTGAACGAAACATTCTCGAACCGGATGGGACCACGGGCAGATTCAACCTTGACGCCCTTTGTGGGTGATATCGTTGGTTGTCGGTCCTGCAACTCAAATAGACGACTAGCCGCACCGACACCTTTCATTAGTTCGGAATAGAAGCTAGAGAGACCAAACATGCTGGACCCAGCATAGGCAGTATACATCAAGAAAGATGTGAGTTCTCCAATGCTGATGGCGCCTGATTTGACCATTCCACCTCCAACATAGAGTAGAGCGAGAATGGTCATATTACCCATGAATCCGGTCTACAGGAAAGTCAGCAAAATGTTCAAAAAGTATCAACTCAGGGTACCATACAGAACTGAAAAAGGTCGCGCTGATCAGAGACTCTCTCTTGCCGAGCTCGAAGATCTTGCGAACTTGAGTATTGTAGCGGTTGACCTCCAGGATCTCACCAGCAAAGGATTGGCTAGTCTTCACGTTGCCCAAACGTTCTTCGGCGATCTTGGTAAGGGTTCCGAGATTCCTCTGGATCTTGCGGCTCAGGTTTCGAATCGATCTGCCATAGAAGAAAGCCCCTAAACCAATCGGAGGAAGCAAAAGCGCCAGGATACTGGACAACTTGAGACTGACATAAGCCATGAGACCGAATCCTGCCACGCCACTGACAGTCGCTCGGAGACCGTCGGAGAGATTCTGGGTGATACTTTTACCAACGATAATCGTGTCGGAGCCAAGACGTGAGATCAGATCACCTACGCGGTTCGCATCGAAGAATTCCGCATCTTGAATAAAGGTCTTCCGGAACAAGTTCGAACGGAGCCGAGCAACGACGCGCTCGCCGACGATTCGGAGAATGACAATGCGACCATAGTTAGCGGCAGCACCCAGGGTCATGATTCCGGCCAATGCACCATAGAACATAGGTACACTCAAGCCGAAAAGCTGATCCGGAGCGCCCTCATCTGCTGCCTCGTTGTCTTGCGCGGACTTCGTGGCTGCGTCCATGATTTTACCAATAGAGAAGGGAATAGACATTGTGATACCCGAAGAGATGAGCAGGAAGAAGAAAGCGAACCCGAGCTTTTTAGCCTCTGGGCGGGCGATGGATAGCAGTCGCCAGATTTCCTTGAAGCCGGCATTCTTTCCTGAAGCTCCGTCTTTGGCTAGCTTTGCTCGGAGGTTGACCTTAGCTGCCTGAGCTGCCCGTTCCGAAAGCTCGAATCCCTTGTCCAGATCCTCGTCGTCCTTATCCTGTGTCGTGTCTTTTTTAGTTGACGAGGGTGTCGTCTGACCAATTGGTCTGGCCTCTTGTAGAATCTGAGAGGAAGAGAAGAGGCGAGCACATCCGAGCCTTTGCGATCGATCAATTGCGGTTCGTGCGCTATTGACGTGAGAGAGCGGCGATCCGGAGGGTAGAGGGGTTCCGTGGGAATTGCGTAATATGCTCGATGGTCCTGAAAAGTGTCTTTTGAATCCAAGGAAATTCGTCCCAAGGGAAGAGGTATTATTCTGGGGAAACAGTTCGGAAGCGATGCTTCCAGGTGTTCGAGCTGTCTGTCTGGCAGCTACTCCTGGAGCCCAGGAGGCCAGCAGCCTGGCTCCGCGCATGTCGGAGAAGTGTAGAGGGCGGGATCAGATAGCTGCTGAAATGAACGGCGTTTGAGAAAACCAGGATGCCATATCCTGCTAGATGCTCTCAGAGATCATGGAGTACATGTCCTAGACGAGCTCAGCTTGCTGTTTGCGAAGGCTGGTTGTGAGGTTGATGGAGGGGAAAGCCAGGAAGCTGGAGGTCAGCCGCGAAGCCCGCCGAACCTCCGGTCCCGAGCATCGCTACTTCGGCCTCGCATCGGCGACGATCCTGCCCTCCCTCACCGCCTGCTGTGATTCCGCCGCCATCGAAGCTGGTCGAGAGCATTCGATGGGTGTTGAAGCAACAGTCTGTGCTTGTTGCTGTGGTTGCGCTCGATTGATTTATTTTCCTGCTGGACCAAAGCAACCTACTTTCTGATCTGGAATTCTCCACCTCGATCACAACCATACCGAACCAGGCTGTGTTTTGCAGTACTGTACTAGTTTAAACCGTTGCTGTTTTGCTGGCTACCCCACCCCCACCTCTCCTTAACTATACCTCCTTGAACATCTGCACCACTCAACCCACCATGGTTCTCGACTACAGCAAGTGGGATGCTCTTGAGCTGTCAGATGACTCCGATATTGAAGTGCACCCCAATGTCGATAAGCGCTCTTTCATCCGAGCCAAACAGGCTCAGATCCACCAGCAGCGTGTGCAGCGCCGTCATGAGATCCAAACCTTCAAGTATGAGCGCATAATCAACGATGGCTTGCTCGCCCGCATCGACAAGCTTCTTACACTCCTGAAGCAAAATGAAGGCTCTTCCAAGAGCCCCGAGGAATTCGTCTTCCAGGCTTTAATGGAGTTTGCCAGTGACCCGTCAGAGGACCTGCCTCCCCCACCGCCGGAAGGAGTCCACACGCAAGAGAAGGAACAACCCAAGTATTCTCAGATGATGGGTGCTCTGGTTGATCAGGTGAAGAAAGAAATCGGTGAAGTCAGTGACGATAAGCTTTTCTCGGAATACATCAAGGGCGTGCAGGGACATAAGGATAAGGTGCAAGGTCTACAAAAAGAGCTTCACCAAAGACTTGCACAACTGGAGAAGGAGGAGAGTAGCAAGATCACCAGTGACCAGCTACACACTGGTTTTGACACTTCGCATATCGCCAAGGGAGGCCAAATCCAGGGCCAGGGCTCGTCGGCGAAGACCCAGACCGTCGAGCTTTTGAACCCCGGGGCTTCAGCTGGTGCTTCACCTCAGGCACCTGCCGCCGATGATGAGGATGAGGATGAGGATTCAGAGGATATGAAGGCCAGTGACCTAGCCAAGCGGTTTGCAAAGATCGACCGCGGCGATTACCGCGCTTTGTTACAGTTCATCTCCGCGAACCCCCAGATCGTCGCCGAGAGAGAGACCGATGGCCTCCTTGTGGAGGCCTTCAATAGCCAGATGGAAGGCAAGGATGAGTATGCCCGTCAATGTGTCCACCAGGCATTGCTGTTGCAATATTGCCGGTCCCTCGGTCGCGACGGCATCTCTCTATTTTTCAAACGGTGCGTGGATGAAGTGTTTACCCGTGAAGACAATCCGCTAACATTTACCTCACATTCCAGTATCACAACGGCAGACCACCAGGCCGGAACCCTTTTCCGAAATGACGTGAACGAGACCTATAACAAGATCAAGACGCGTGCTGCACAGCTCGCCAAGGATGGCTCTGCATCTAACGATCCGGCTGGTGTGGAGCAGATCCAGTTGCATGCGGTTGACCCCAACACCAAGATCAGCATTGCTATTCCTGCAGCCGAGAGTCAGGATCCCATTGAGGTGGAGGCGCGCAAGGTCTTCGAGTCCTTTTCGAAGGAAATGCAGAACGCGTTGGCATCGGAGTCTCTGGACGAAGTCAATAAGGTTCTTGGAGAATTGAGCGTTGAAGAGGCGGAGGATGTCGTTGAAAAGCTGGGACAATTCGGCATGCTAAGTCTTGAGGAGGGCATTGTCGACGCCACGACTGAAGAAGGTCGGAAGAAGTTAGAAGAAATCGAGGCGGAGAACAAGAGGGAGAAGGAGATAGGTGAGCCAGGAGGTGACATCACCGAGTTGGATTGAGTAGTGTGAATGTACAGCCTACATGTCATTGAAAAAGGTCTTTATGTCCAATTGTCATCATCTGAACCCAGACCGGCAACTATGCTATTATTCTGATCGCCTACTTTCCACACACTGCACTTACTAGCTCAAAGCCATCACAGCTTCGACATGCAATAGTCTCCGGATATGATCTGCTGGAGTTGGGTATTTCCGTTGTGTTACGTAGTTCGACGAGGTGTGAAATGATTCAGTGTTCCAATATGCATGATCTAGCTACAGAAAGGGAATAACGAAGATATCAAAACATGTGACGAGAATAGGATAAAGAAACATGTAATTAGGAAGCCACCACAACCCCTAAAGAGGTTCACATAGGTATATTCAGGTTGGTGAGGAACGTGTAGGCTCTTGGAGTCGATGCGGAATAACATGATGTTCATGAGAATGGCGCTGAAGTAAGTGATAAGGTATAAGTTCCAGGAGACTTTCTTTTTTTCGGTCCCGTTCGCCAACCGTGGAGTTCAGGTGATTTGAGATCTAGACACCGCCAGCACCGGGTGCATTCTGATCCTTCTTCAGATCGAGTAGCAACTCTCGGAAGCGCTCCTTGCCAGATCCGCTGGCGCCACCCTTGCTACCCTTTCCAGACACGTCAACCAGTTTCGCAATGCGTTCCCAGCTAGTACCGCCAGAGGATGTGTCTTCACGATTGGAAAGGAACTGCTCGGCTTCGGCGCGAGTCTGAGCGCGCAGCTTGTCTGTCTTGTTGTTGTAGGAAACGTAGAAGTCATCAATGTCCTCCTGCGCCTTCTTAATGGTCGCTTCCTTCTTCTCCTCGGAAATCTCGGCACGACGCTGAATGTCTGCATTGCGTCTTTCACGCCATTCCCTAGAGGAGTCGCAATGTCAGAAACATGGGCAGCATGGAAGCGACGGAGCGGTGAAATGCGGGGATAGTGGCGTGTAGACTTTCTCTCGAGTTGGGGATGGTGTTACCTGACGGGCTCAGGCTCCTCGTCGGGAGCTTGGGAAGTGTAGTTGGTGTATCCGGTAGGCGGGAAGGGGGCCCCCGTTCCAGTGATTGTACCACCAGGGGCAACTTGCTGTTTGACCAGCAGTGCATTAGTACACTTGGGACATAACCGCTGGAGAGATTGAGTACAATGCGTACCTCATTTTGTGTGTCGAGAGCTGGGAATGAGGATTCGAAACCGCCGATCTCGTTGGGAGACGCATCGCCTGCGGCTGGGAAGGCATCCGCACCACCACCAAGTAGATCGTCATCGTTGTTTACGTCTTCGGCAGCAGCGACATGGTCTTGGGGGGTTGCAAATTGCTCGGCATCGTCACCAAGCATGGCTCTCTCGCGAGCCAGAAAGTCGTTCTCATCGGCACCGCCATTGGTCTCTACCACCTCGGTTTGGCCTATCGACGGGTTAGAATCATGATGTAGTAGAAGCGGCGATGATGCGGGTTGCTCACCCGCGGAGAAATCCTCCAATGAAGGGAAGCGATCGGCCATGTTTGATCGATTGTGTGAAATTCAGGAAGTGTATGCGACTTTTGGAGTAATGTGCGGTAGCTTTCAGTAGACGCAAGAGATGAGGAGGAGGAGGAGGAGGAGGGAGGGAGGGGAGGGGAATGAATGTAAGGTACCAGCTGGCGGGTTGGGGATGCGGGCGGAGAGTACGTTTGGATGGGCAATTGGAGAACCCCCCGGATTCTGCCACGGAGGGCGGTAAGAGCTCCTGGGCTGCAGCTTGCATCGGAGAGGAGAGAGTGACTACTCTTCAGGGAATCCTTCACTTTCACCTCAGTAGTCCTTCTTTCTCTTCTCTTCTGCTATACGGGCCCGTCTTGGTATTTCTGCTCGCTCTCCTCGTCCCATTTGTATCTCCAAGGGTTAGACACCACTTATCTACCCATAACAAATCGAGTCGCCAGCCCAAACATACCGAAATCCACAATTACCCCATCACACTTGCCAGCCCAGAGTAGATTACTGTTCTGAAAGAGCGAGGCAACCACAATGGCTTACACTGATGACGCTGTTAAAGCGAAGCTCTCTGCGCTCAATGAGACTCAAGAAGGCATTGTCACAGTCGCCCAATGGGTTATGTTTCATAGGTAAATGATCTTGACAGCTATGGATAATTAATTGGTCTTGGCTAACCAGGTCCGCAATCGATAGACGACACGCAGACCGGACAGGGCAGCTTTGGCTGCAGAAACTGCGAGAATCGCCTGCGCCGAAGCGATTGAATCTGATCTATCTCGCCAATGGTACGCACGGCACTTACTACTAGCCTGACTCCCGATGACTGACCCAACCCAGAGGTCGTGCAACAGTCGCGCGCGCGGCGCAAGGAAGACTTCCTCCTCGCGTTCTCTCCAGTAGGTTTCGTCAAAACCTCGGGAAGATTCAGAACGAAAGCTGACATCTACAAGATAATCGCGGAGGCTACAGCTACCGCGTATAAGGGTGCCTCGAATGACATTCAACAGAAGCTGCGACGGGTAATAGAGGTTTGGAGGGCGCGGGCAATCTTCGAGCCGTCAATTCAGGATGTTATCGAGGCTCGAGTGGATGGTAAGGATGCGTTGAGTGGATGTTATAATACAACTTTAGCTCACGCCTTTTTAGAGATTGACAAATCGCGCTCTACCGGAAAAAAGCCGCCATTGGGCGGATCTCTCTTCTCAACGTCGTCCGGTTCTACCCCATCTGAGCTTCAGCCCTTAGTCCCCTTGCAGTCAGCCCTTTCAAAAGCTGCAGTAACTTCCACTGCATCCGCCACCGCTGCCAACGCAGAGTACGATAAGCTACACGATCCGAAGAACCCATTGCCAACCCCTCCGGTGCATGCTGCACGGCTCAGCCAACTGTTGAAGGCTCTGGCGAATGCGGAGAGCTCCGTGTCGGAGGTTATCAAGTCACGGTTGGCACTAATTGATGGTCTCGAGAAACTGTTGGAGACCAACCGCTCAGCTTTGTCAAAGGAGCAGAGACTGGCCGCGCAGCTCGGAGAACGAAAGGCCGAAACCGAGGCGACCAAGCGGGAGGTCGAGGATGGCATCATGCGAGGTCTGTCTGCGGAAAATTCACCTGCGGCTAATCATGGAGACCTCGGGCTTGGAGGAGAAGCGAGTGTGCCTCGGCCGGAGGTCGAGGCTCTGACCCCTCCACCTGTTGAGGCCCTGACACCCGTTGGCTCTCCGAAGCAGGCTCCCCAGGAAACAATTCCAGGACTCACCAACGAAACCCAGATGTTCGGCGGGTTCACACTTCCTGGAATTGAGCATCCCTTCAACTCATCCTACCCCACATCGGATCTAGCTTTTGACGGTTCCAATGGCCTCCATGCCAAGAAACGCAAGGTCACTCACGAAGAAGAGGACTACGCTCAATTTGCGAGCGGAGATCTGGATGCTGATGTGGCAGAGCTCTTGAAGCAGGAAGGCGATGCACAGAATTGATACCCCGCACTACTAGGTGGGTATATGGTTATGCAAGCTACCGCTCTGGTTTTCGACATATTCACCAACTTTTCATTTTCAATTGTGTGCTTTCAGTGGCACGCACATGTTCAAGCTCCGCATTTCTGTTGTCTAAGCATGCTTCTGCAGGGAGGCGCTTCTTACAATCATTTATGATGTTGGCTGGCTGTTGGCTGTTTTTGCTATTGAAGAATGACAATGTATCACCGGAACCAGTCGAAAATACTGAATTCAACAAAAAGAACTATGGGTATATGTCTGGATCCACCCATTTGTCCCTCGCGACCCTGGACAACGACGGTCGTCTCTTTCGGTGGTAGCTTGACCTGAATGCACGAGAGCTCAATCCAGGGGATTGTTGATTTTGCTGTGTAGAGGGTGGCTCTGGTGCCGGTGCCGGTGCCGGTGCCGGTGCCGGTGAAGGAAGCTCAGGGGAATCATGTTTCTTTGGTTTGACTAGCAATACGATGAATAACCCTGCCACCAATATTACCAAGAGAAGGAGAATCTTGCGCTTGACCGTGCGGCGCTGATAGTTAGTAGCCTGGAATAGGATGCTGTGTTAGTCCCATTCCCCAATACAACGACCAAATAGAACTTACCACTTTGAGCTCTTTATCTGCTGCCTTGACCTCCGTACCCATGCGTTCGATGTTGTAATCTATGCGATCCAGCATAGTACCCTGATCAATTACCATAGCCTGTAGCTCGCGGAAGATGTCTGACAGCTCAATAATTCCTTTGGCGATATCATTGATTTCCCGTTCCCGTTGTACAATAGCGGCGTCATTTGATGTTGACAGACGCTGGGAGGTTTGCATGAGGGTGGACTGGGAGAAGGACTTGTCCGCATCCGATTCCAGGAGGGAGGGATCTGTGAAGGGGTTCTGCATCGGGGTCGGCGACCGGTCAAAAGAGGAAGCGCCGCCCTCCAAGCCTCGTAACTCTGACAGCCAGACAATGGTTAGCGCATAGAGCCAGAATGTACAGGCCTGAAAGCAAGGGCTCGTCGCAGGCAGAACTCACTCTTCAGGTAATTGCTTTGTTTCTTTCTGAACCGAGCGCTGGCTTCCTGCACGCGGGCGGCCAGTGAGATCTGTAGATTCTTCGCCATGGTCTCATCTCCGCTGCTGACTCCGCCCTGCTGTTTAGCATCCCGCACCATCATCTCGATCCTCTGCACGGCCTTCTGGCATACGTGGAAGGAGCGCGTGATGTCCTGGGTGAGTCGCTCGATTGCTGCTTCATCCTGCTTCCTGATCTCTTCGTCACCAAACCCGGGGAGAAGGTGCTTCTGGTGTAGCTTGTCCAGCTGGGCGGACTTCTGCGCGATGTCGGCGAGCAGCTCCGTCACTTCGTCCTGCACATCGACCCAGCGCGGGGGTAATACGTCCATCTCGATGATAGCGTCGCCATCCTCATCTGATCCGCCCGTTTCGGCGATGAGTCGGCGGCTCTCTTCAGACTGTGAGGGGATGTCGGAGAAGCCATTGGAGGCGCCGAGATAACGTGGCTTCTTGGCCGGATGATGTGTGAACGACTGACGGTAGGAGATATAACTATGATGAACCAAAAGATCAGCATTCCATATTCGCAAAGACGACCGGGGTATAGTTATGGATAATACAGATTGGTCCGATCCCGCCACATTGTGAAGCAATGACTGTGGATGGTTGCCTTGTTCTGCGGTGTTCCGTCAACGGGGGGGGGATTGCGCCTCTAGACTGCTGCTACCCTGATCATTGTCGGACCAAACAGGACAGGTAGGGTTGGGACGAGGCTCTTTTCAGATGTGAAATCAAGAGAGAATAGACTGTTTCGCGAAGGTACAAGGACTCGCTTGGTCACTGTGTAGATGATACTGTAAACACCAAATGCGCCCGATAGGACCTGTCGCTGTTCTGTACTTCCGTAGCTGGACTTCCCAGGCATGTTGCACATGAAGGCCAATCCGGCACTTTCCCTCTTTCGGAAAGCACGGCATGGAGCATGGAGGGATCCTCGCCATTACGTCAGCCATCAGCACCCTGATCGCAACTTTGTGTATGCAGTAAATTATTATGCACCCGCGAAGATTAGTATTCGAGTGGAAGATCCAAGCCTTTGGTAGAATCTCAGATAGGCCCAGGTTTCCTTGCTTGAGGCATACAAATTAGAAGTGAACCGTTGATCTATCCATCGGTGGATAGAGTCGCGCCTACATCATAGAAAGGTTTCCAGCGGCATGCTTCCTACTCTTATCATGCTTTTCCTGTTTCTTCCGGACTGCAGTGAGACAAAACAATTGTTGTAATTACTTCGACGTAGTTCGAGAGTCGGTCTTCAACTGCGTCTGTACAATATAGCGCTTACCGTGTCAGGACAAAGTGATATGGAAGTATATATGTTTTATTGACCAGCCTTGGAGTATGAATGATGACCCGAGGAAAACCGGAGAGTATCTCTCTCTTCAGTGCAAGGAGGGACCACCGTTGGGTTGGTTTATAGCTGTGGCCATCCAAGCACTATCTCTGCGCGCATATTGAAACGCAGCAGTCAGGGGAAACAATCGCATTTGACACAATTGAGGCTCAAAGTACCCGAATGAACGCAGCTGTGGATGGACTGTCAAGGAACTCTCTGCAGCGACAAGTACCTGAATCAAGTTGACCCTGGGACACAGCTGCGGAACTTGCTGCCTTCAAGCTTTGGTACTGCTGGGGATCCACGGGTGCGGCCAGACGCTGCTTTCTAGGCGGTGACTGGAACAGTACGAGCGGCGGTGCAAGCACGAGGGGATGAGAGTAGATGCACGAGGGGCACAGCCATCACATCACGCAGGGCTGGCAGGAAATCAAAGAAGCATGCAGCCAGCAGCTAAAGCACTCCCGAGCAAAAATAGCAACTACATACTGTACCTAGTTACTCGTAGTAGCAATAAATAATTGACAGTTGAGGACACATGGTGGCCCAGGCGGGTCACGTTTCGGGCATAAGCGACCGCCTTGCCAGGCAATGCCGCTCAATGGTCCTTTTATTATTGTGATGGATTCGGGTTCCCCTTAAATCATCTTCCACCACCACCACCACTACCGACTCCTCCTCCCTCCCCCCACTACTTTCGCCCGCTCCTATCAAACCAACAGTTTCCCTTTTCTTCCTCCATCTCTCGATCTATTATCTGCTTCTTGGTCCTTTCGTGATCCTATCACATATATCTCATTAAACCATGGTATGTCTACCTTCCTGTTCGCGGTCTTGGCCCGGTCATGTTGAAAATCCCCCACTTTGCGGGGCAGATCGATCTGGAATGCTGGTCAGAATTGCTAACATCTCATCATTCAGGCCGATTCTCTGACCGAAGAGCAAGTTTCCGAGTACAAGGAGGCCTTCTCCCTCTTTGTAAGCGACCCCGATGCTTTCTCGTCTGCTATGAAACACTGTTTACTGATTCATTTCTCGTGATCCCTGATAGGACAAGGATGGCGATGGTTAGTGTAGTTCCTTACCCCTCAACGAAACACGCCTGGCACCACTATAGCCACCACACTGCAAATGCCACCGAAACCGCTGAGAATCGATCGCATTTCTGACAGAATCTATGTTACAGGACAAATTACCACCAAGGAGTTGGGTACCGTCATGCGTTCCCTCGGCCAGAACCCCTCCGAGTCTGAGCTTCAGGACATGATCAACGAGGTCGACGCTGACAACAACGGCACTATCGATTTTCCCGGTATGTGATAGCCATGTATGGGACTCCGGACATAGTATTGACAGCTGCCCAGAATTCCTTACCATGATGGCCCGTAAGATGAAGGATACCGACTCCGAGGAGGAGATCCGTGAGGCCTTCAAGGTTTTCGATCGCGATAATAACGGCTTCATCTCTGCCGCGGAGCTGCGCCACGTCATGACCTCTATCGGTGAGAAGCTCACCGATGACGAAGTCGATGAGATGATCCGTGAGGCGGACCAGGACGGTGACGGCCGTATTGACTGTATGTTCCACACATTCCCTGCTTAAATGTTCTTCCGATGACTAACTTTTACTTCTTTTTCCAGACAATGAGTTTGTCCAGCTCATGATGCAAAAATAGATGGCTGTTAATATCCAATTTGTTTTATTTTTGTTAGCGAAAGGGTGGGGGCAGAGAAGTGTACTCCGCAGTAACCCATCTCATTCCTGATACAGTTTCTTGTAGTCTATCTATTCGAGTACGGTCACCAGGGGTTGGGCATTAGCGCGCTCTCCATTGTCATGTCGTTTTGTGGTCATTGTTGCAAACAATATTAGCGCCGACATGAACCCTAGACCAAGCCCGGTCGTGTCAAATGAGGGACAACAATACCTGTGTGTGCTCCACAGAGATTGAATTCTCTTGGTTTGGCCGAGGATGCTTGGGATTGCATGTCCACGTCCTTATGCCCTCGTAACAGGCTGCTTCTCGCTGCTAGCCCTCCTGTCAGTCAATCTAGCCGCCTAGGTTCTAGTTGTCGTGCTTCAGCGGTAGTGATGCTCGGGCGAAACAGCCCGACAAGAATATATCTTCAGGACCTAATTCCAGTCTGCCAAGTAACATTCCCTGTAGGGTTGAAGCTTATGACCTGCCAAGAAATCTTGAAAGGAAGCGTATCACAACCAAACCCAGATTCACCAACTAAGCCCCGAGAACAGTAGCATACATACTCAGAATCATCTATGCGCTAATCTGGCAATCTTCCCAGAGACAGGTTTCTATAATGAGAACACACCTGCATTGCTCCACCGCGTTCAGGCCAGGCCCTCTCTTCCATTGATAGAATGTCACATACAGAGATATCACCGATTGAACCGAAAGATCTCCATGAACTGCCTCGCCGAATCCACTCCCGCCGTCGGATCGGGATCTTCGTCCGGCTGTTGCTCCCGCTTCTCCTCAGACTCTCTCTGCATCCCTTGTTGCGCCTTGAGCCGCTTCAATTGCTCCTTGACCTCCCTCCCGACATCCGGCACCAGGATCGCCTCGCGCGCACCCTCGATCCCCAACCGAGCCCAGAACTCCCGAATCAGCGCCGCACTCGCCGCATACTCCGCTTCCACATCCGCCTCCTCCACCCCGTCCGGGAAGAAGCTCACGTCGATTGCGGAGTCGCCGTCTCCCTCGGCACCAGTCGCGGCGTACGCACCGGGACCCATCTTCTTGGCCAGCAGCGCCTGCGCGGCAATCGAGCTGACCAAGGACGGGCCGCGCCATTCGATCTCCACGACCGTGCCGCGGATCCTTGCTGCCGGCTGCGTCTGGCGCACGTCCCCGACGCGCACGCGGAAGTCGCCCACGTCGTAGACGGCGCCGCCGGGCACGGTGACCGTGTGACGGTGGCACCAGAAGGGTTGGCAGGCGTAGCCGAAGTGGTGGAAGAGTGTGCTGCTGGAGGCGAGCGGGACGGTGGTCATGACCATGGGACCGGCTGATGATGACGATGACGGGCTGCCGGAGGATGCTCCAGCTGTAGGCGCCGCCGCCGGGGCCGGAGGAGGGTTAGTGGGGGTGGTCGTTGCGGCGGGTTCAGAGGTGTAGATGAAGCCGTGGTTGGCGTGGTAGGAGAGGGAGAGGAACTGCATGTATCGTGGTTGCGCTTGGCGCTGCTGCGGTGTGGACGCTGGAAGGCATGATGGCGTATCTCGCATCAGCTTGTGCTCCAGGAACCACCGGCCGACGAGAGTGGGCTCCTCTGCTAACGCCGTGTGGAGGCGCTCCGTTACCGTTGCCAGTGCCGTCGAGGCATTGGGGTTGGAAGGAATGAAGTACACCCTGCAGGACTTTGGGATTAGTTGTTGAAAAGGGGTCGAGCTCGGTGGGGGCAAGGGAATGAAAGGTGGTTTACCCTGTGATGGCCATTCTGGTCGAGCACACGGCGGCGTTCCCGTTATGGGACCGCTACGGTATGAGCTGGGCACAGCACACCTGTGTGTGGTCTGATGGTGACGTGCTCTGGGTAGCGGAAGAAGTCGAGTATGGATACAAGAGCCTTAGGCCAAGAGGACTGAGTTACTGGTCGATATGGACTTATACTTTGCAGCAAGTTAATGTCTGCCCGTGGTGTTAGCACTGGCTGAAAGAAAAGTGTAGGTGTCTCCGATTCCTTCCTACATACTTGATTGCTGTATTGGGTTATATAGTACTCGGTATATCTAAGCAATTTCTGAAGCTGGAGCGATGTTATGACTTTGACGGTGGTGATACAATCATGTATGTCAACCTTTAAGCTCGATAAAAGAAATAACCCAAAGTAGTGAAGCAGGCTGTTTGTGCCTGGTTGATAAGGCAGCTACACAGACGAAGCAAACAGAGCAAACAGCGACGGGACGGAATGGAACAACCAGTCTCCCGTCCTCACCCGTGCTTTTTTGCGCCCGCAGTCCCGCCTCCACTCCCATTAATCACAGTCCAAGACTCCAAGCAAAAGCACTGGATCCCTTGGAAGTTGGGCCCATCCAGGCTCCACATTCATCATTTTATCCGATACCCAGCCCTCTCTACCCCGAAGGGCGTGCTTTCTAGTTTAACAGTCTAGGCTGTCTGTCTCTTTCAGACCCTGGCTGGCCTCATTCAGTGCATTCCCGGGATACCAATAATCTCCCAATCAATTTCCCTCAAGCTGCTGGCATTGCTGCTATTGCTGCCAAGACGCGGGTTACTGTTCCATAATAGAGGCTCAGAGCAGAGCCTGAGACCCTTCCGCCCCCTCTCTCTCTCCAGGGGCCGTTTCCCACGGGATATGTCAAAGGTTAAGAATAGAAAATCCTACCAATCTGAGTCTCACTAATCCATTTTCATTTCCCTGGGATCCAAGGCCCCGCGGCCAGCCAGGGTCGAAAGCGCCACCAGCTTACGCAATGGGCAGATCCTCCCGCCGCGGTGCTTGTTTTCCTTGCTCGTCTCTTACTTACTGTGGTAAGCTCTGTTAGCTTTCTGAGCCACTCTGATGCGGTTTGTCTCCTCTTTGCGATCAGCATGCCACACATTACTGGCTGTTTGACAGTGCAATTGACCCGTCTGATACAACATTCCACCTAAGATGCTGGAATTACCAATGATACTGATGCTTCTGAGCTAGCCTTAACCTGAAGTAGCAGGAAAGGTCCTCGAGCTCCCCCTACAGCCAGGGGTGATTGATCCCTGACGGCTATATACGGGCCATATGTCTTTTTCTCATTCATATTCTCCTAGACAACACCTGTTTTCCAAGGGTCTCGCGAACCTTGGAACCTCCCCCAATTCGTTCGCTTTTTTGTACTGGTCTCGGAATCCCAAGCCCGGGGTGACTTCAGACTGAGTCTGGTATCGAGCCTCCTCTCGATGCTTGAACTTATTTCTATATTATAACTTTTGGCCGTAGCTTGAACGGCTGTCCTCTCTCTCAATCAATTCTCTGTCCATTTTTGCCATTATTTCATATAATAAACCAACCACCATGATATTTTCACGGAGAAGCTATCTCCTTCCCACTGTGATTCTCATCTGCCTCACCTACAGTCTGTTCTCTAATCTACCGCCTGGCGCAAAGAGACCGCATTCACATACCCATGACAATGCGCACCAACCCACCTCGACTTCAGCATCCTCAGTTGGTGATCGAATCCATTGGACTAAACAATCTGAACACCATCCGATTGAGGAATATATCCCTCTTCCTACTGCAGTACCATCCGCTATACCTAAGATTCAGTATGAGTTTCCAAGAGAGTCGTGGGTTGCTGGATGGAGGAGGAGGAAGAGACAGAACGCCGTGAAGAAGGCGTTCCAACATGCGTGGAAAGGATACAGAGACAATGCCTGGCTACGGGACGAGCTATCCCCTCTTAGCGGGCGCCATCGCGAGACGTTTGCTGGATGGGCGGCTACGCTGGTTGATTCCCTTGATTCTCTGGTCATCATGGGCATGACAAAAGAGTTTGAAGAAGCGCTGGAAGCTCTCGACCGCATCGATTTCTCGACAACGCATGCTCTGCAGATCAATATCTTTGAGACCAACATTCGCTACCTGGGCGGGTTCCTGGGTGCCTATGATCTCACCGACGGCAAATACCCGATCTTGCTTAAGAAAGCCACCGAGATTGCGGACATGATATATGGATCGTTCGACACCCGTAACAGGATGCCGCAATCCAGATGGGAATGGACCAGGTAAGGCAGACATACGTTCAACCAAGATGACGAGACGAATTGCGCTGTCCGAGGCGTTGTATCCGTATAATAAAAGCAGGTGCTGACCGGCCTCTAGATCTGCAGAAGGTCACGGCATTATGCCCGGTAAACAAACTATTCTTGCTGAACTTGGATCGCTCAGTCTGGAATTCACCAGAATGTCTCAGCTGACCAAGGATCCTAAGTACTTTGATGCCATTCAAAGGATTACGGACTTTTTTGAAGAGAATCAGGGACTTACAAAACTGCCAGGCCTGTGGCCTATGATGGTGAATGCACAAGATATGGAATTCAGTGACCCTCGATTTACAATCGGAGGGATGGCTGACTCGACGTACGAGTACCTCCCGAAGGAGCATATGCTGCTTGGAGCCCAAACGAATCAATATCGCAGAATGTACGACTCGTTCATGAAAGCTCTCAAGAGCCGTCTCCTCTTCCGCCCAATGACGAAGGACAACCGAGACATTCTTTTTGCTGGGAACGTCCAGGCCAATGTGATCTCCCCCAGCAGGGAAAGGCTGGATCCACAATGGGAACATCTGAAGTGCTTTTTGGGTGGTACTGTTGGCATTGGGGCCAAAGTATTCGACCGTCCTGAAGAACTTTCAATCGCGCGGAAGTTGGCCGATGGATGCATCTGGGCATACGATATCATGCCTACTGGCATCATGCCAGAGATACTCCATCTGAGCGCATGTCGTGACCCGAATGATTGCAAGTGGGACGAAAACAAGTGGTATCAGGACGTGCGGCACCGCTTGGCGAAGAAGTCCAGCTCGGAGAATCACATCAAGCAGGCTGAATCATTGATTGAGACATACGGGCTGCCGCCAGGAGTTGTTGATATTCCAGACCCGAAGTATCACCTCAGGTTAGTTTGCTCTTTCTGCTGGCATACTCGTGCGCTGACATTGTTCAAAGACCAGAGGCTATCGAATCTGTGTTCATACTGTACCGTATTACCGGCGATACGAAACTGCAGGATGCTGCATGGCGAATGTTTAAGAATATCGAGAAGATGACTTGGACTCACTTTGCCCACGCCGCAATCGCCGATGTGCGCGATCCTGAGTCGCCACAGCTGGATTACATGGAGAGTTTCTGGCTAGCGGAAACCCTGAAGTACTTCTACCTCATTTTCTCCGAGCCGAATGTTGTAAATCTGGATGATTACGTCTTGTAGGTGCTGCAACAACTGTCACTTCACATTCTCGACGCTGACCCGAATCCAGGAACACCGAGGCGCATCCATTCAGGCGCCCTTCTATTCGATCGTGAAGGCCGATATCCAATTTTCTCGTTTACATGCTGAGATTAGCGTGAAAGAATTTGCATCGGTGAGGCGTTAATCATTCTTTGGTCTCTTTAAACAGACCCAATCCCTTTTGTACATAGACTAGGTCCTCCAATTTGATATAAAGCCTCCGGCCTACGCGTCCTCGTCAAGAGCAGCAAGTCAATCCTAGGTCACCGTATGGACTGTATCGGGTCCAAGTACCCGTTTCGAACTATTGTCTTCTCTTCCCTCCACTTATGAAATCATCTCTGCTCGTCAGTCATAGCGTTGAGATCCGACATACTTTCCTCTGTCCATCATTCACTGTTGATCGATGAATCGTTTGCTTTCGGCCATAGCACGTCCGCGCAGCTATGTCAATGTGGGTCGTAGCAGGCTTGTATTCCTACAAATCTTGGCGACACCGAAACAATCGGGGTCTCCGTCAAATGCACGGGTGGCTTCAACTAAGACAGCGACCTAGCACAAGCAACAGGACGTCCAGATTCACTTGTAGTTCTGTATTGCATGAAAGCAATTCGACATGAATGGTAAGACACAATCACAACCTTCAATCCGTTCCGTGCCTCGAATGCAGGTACACTCCGCAAGAAAAAAGGAACGCAAATTTGCCCACTGTAGCTGGTTTGGGTCTTTACAGAAGAACAGCAAGACGTAGCGTAGCTTGTAGCAGCCGGTACCATCCGAGTTGTTGGGAATCATAGGTCAATGTATCGAATACAGATGATATTTTGATAAATTTATTAGGTCATAGAGGAAAGTTGCAATATTTTAAAAGAGTTATAAAATTACTTAGGTACATATTTGCATGTTTATTTGTATATCCTATGATTCTGACGACCCCAGGCGTCATACACACGTCAATACAATGGCTTAAGAGAGAAAAAAAGCTACACTGGTTGGTACAGTCAACCTGGCCATTCTAGAGAGTCTTATGTCTGTCGAGTGCGCTAGTTGTTCCTCCCTTTCTTGTTTATCATGGTGGTTCATATAATAATGCCGTGACTACGCACAGGGGAGGTAGGCTAACGGCAGAGAAGGGATGTCTTATGTAGCGGTTGGCTCTTGACCAAATCGCTCCGATATAGGACAGGGATGGATGGCTCCGTTCCTTGTGTCTGTGTGTGTGGCCATAATGATCCTTGCATCATTATGGCCATAACCTGGAATATACTTATCTTTGGATAATCCTCCCAGGCTTGTGATCAGAGGTCCAGTTCAAAGAGAAGTGCCTCGGACAAACGCATGGTTGTAGTAGTATCTGTGACGACGGACATCATGCCGCGAAATCCTGATGCGCAACAGAAGGGAGCGCAAACCTGATGAGTCCACACTATCTGGCCAACGAATCATGGGGCCTGTCATTAGAAATCAGATTCCACACCCCGCATCATTTGGGGGGGTTTGGAACCCGCGGAGAAACTCCGGCTAGGGCTGAGGACAACACATATCCATCCATCCCACCCCAACCCAGCCTGTGGCCCGTATGCGATAACGGGTCCGTTGGGCATCGATCTCTCCCACCATATGTCGCAGAATTGGCTCTCCGGGCTAGCGTCGCCAGGTCGCGTGAAGGCCGGGAATAGTTTCATGTTACGTCAATTGGTCTGGTTCGGTACTTACCCGATTCGGTGCAGGATACAGCATCAGTCACAAGTGTCATTATGATGCCAACCGAGAGGAAGTGGACTAAGGCAGCTGTGGCGAAGGAGCAGCAGTCCTTTCTCTGCGGGGTTGACACAACTTGACGTCGTCTTATCTTTACTGGTGACGTTTGGAAGGGAGAAAGGGGGCGACTTGGTTACCGATTGTCCCTGTCGGATGCCGCCGCCAGTTAGTAGTGCATGCTCAGCCTGCCAATCTGAAAGCGGCATTGACAGCACTTCCTTGGTGGTATCTAAGGTGGCCTCAGGTCTTGAATTACAGGGATGTATACAGCGAATGAAATACTGGACCAAGAAATGACATTCCAAAGTTCCTGGGACTAGCTGTCCAAACAGGTCTTGTCTACTCGGACTTATTCTGAGTGAGTAAAGTACTTCTAGGTGAGGTACCGCGTACCGCTAAACGGAAGGAGCGACGGTCTAGACAGTCTCCTAGATTCGAAAGGAGCCCAGCCCCAATTTAATTCGCGTCTTTATTACACTCTTGCTCCGCACAATCGGGTTTCAGCAAGATCAGATAAGAAGTGGTTCACAATGAGCCGATTTTAGTCTGTTTTAGCCTGGCAAGCTGGAGACCGTCTCTATGGCGCAATTTTGACGCGTTCTTTGACCGGATATACTTGGACACGCTGCCTCTCGTCCTGATTTTGCTGTGCATTGAGCCGAGTCAACGATTGCAAAATTACCACAGAGTGCGAAGGACGGCTATGCGCGGTACATCAATCCAAAAAAATTACCTCCTTTCAACCGTGAAGCCTAGTCACCCCCCTGCAGTCGGATCAGCAGCCCCTGATCGACTCAATGGAGCTGCTGCCATGGAAATTCGCGGTTGGCTTCCAGAACCTGTTTGGCACGGCTGGTGCCTTGCTAGAATATTTCGAGAACGGGATGTGGGCACGCTGGGGGTTTGTGATCTTATGGGGTACGCGGCTGCCCGCGAGGAGATTGAACGCGAAGTCAAATGGTCGCTGTGCCCCTGATGACCTTCTCCAGGAGAAATGGAGCCCGTTGGGGAGGAGACATGCGCTACCACGGCTATCTGATTGATTGATTTGATTGATACGGAAACAACCGGTCGGCCGATGTCGGACGGGCCCCACACGGTTTCATTACCAGACCTGTCACATGAGTTACACAACCCGAGCAGGTCAACCGCCAGTTCCGGTTCTCGTCAACGAAGTCCCGACATTTTTGCATCTGGTAGGCAGGATGATGTACCTCGTGTAAGGGGTGGTTAAGAAGCTAGACTCAACCTGTTTCTAAGCATGCCAGAAATGATTGAAGCGGCCATTTTGACGGCGACGAGAGGGCAGTGGGATGAACACGGAGCAGAAAGTCCCGTCATCACTTATCTGATCCGGAACAAGACACCCTGGCTACACAACGAAAATACGTACACATTACCTCGCGGAAGCACTGCTGATCATTGCAATCCCCCCACTAACTATTGTCTGCTGTAGAATATTCTCGCCACTAGACGCTGACGGCAAGAGCTGATTTTTGAGATGTATGTACTGTACTCTGTACTCCTCTTGGTCGACATCACCATCGCCAAGCGTTCAGCTGGCAAGGAAAAGTTGTGTGTTAGCCGAGGAAGAGGCCGCACCCGGATCAGATTAGATCGGTAACGTAACTCGGCTGCTGGTGCGGTTGTTACTTACCGTCTCATTGCCGTTGTCAGGCCACCGGATGAATCCATCTCGGATCATGCTATCCAGCACAGTACAGCATTCAGGAGCTGTGTATGATGTTTGACACTGATGATGGCCTGGACGTACTATGATATCAACACGAGAGGTCTACTGGAGTTGCAGATTCCGTGCCTCCCACTCGGGATAGCTTTTCCATTCATTTGCCTCCCATTTCCTACCGACTCGAGTTAAATAACCCGCTAGCTGCAGATCCAGACTTACCCCGCGGAGAGACTGGGAGGGGTCCGTTCGCTCGAAGCACCCGATCGCTTGGCACAGTAGCGAATGATAATGTTCTTATAGACTTGTAGAATCGACTGAACAAGCCTATCGGACGCTCTGGCTTTGCAAAGACCCTCCGGATGGGAATTGACGCCCTGGTGTTGTGGGTTACTTGTGGGATAAACGTTCCCGAACGGTCGCTGGAAGTGGACGGGTATTGTTACATACCGTGGAGAGATACTGGAACCGGGTATCGATGGATGGAACCTGTACGAGACATTTCCTCACCGAGTGGCAACCAAAAAAAGTCATGCTTTCATTCTTGAATAATTGTTCGCTACGATTTTTCGCCTCGCATTCTTCTCCCCTATTTGAATCCGTCACTGGTAGCTTCCGCACGTGCCCTATCTCATCGGTTTCTTTTCTCTTTTCCCCCCTCCCATAATTCCCCTTCCTCCCTTGACTACTCTTGTTGTCTCAAAATCTCAATACCATCATCCAGTTGTTTCATGTTCCCTGGATGAACGATCCCATACAAACCGGGAGAATCCTTTTCTGACACGTACAGACCCTAGCGCATTCGGAACCGTCCTCCCGGCGCCGTCTTGCCCCAGGCACATCATTATTATAGTACTGTAAAGTACTGTATATTCGCTCATTCGCCTCCTTCCACCTCCCTAAAACAGCATCGCTCTGATCCTCCGGGACTTCTTTCATTTCCGATCTGCTCCCTGCATCGTTCGTCCTTATCTTAATGCCCACTCGCTTTATGGTGTCCACTGGTCTAGTGTAGACCGTCTTCAATTGCCACTACCTTTGCTCATCCCTTTTCGTTGGGTTCGCTTTCTTTTTCATTCCACTGTCGACCAACAATTACGTCTGCTCGATCCTTCAATCCGTCCAACATCGTCTCTTTCTGCGCTTTGTTTTATTATCTTCACACGCTCAGAATCGGCGGGCAATTCTCTCGCTCTATACATTGCTTTACAGAGACATAATGGGTAAATTATCCTTTCCCCCCCCCTTCCATTCCTCCGTCGGGGTATCCCTAGGCCACCGGCTCTTGCGGTCAATGACCACGGCCTATTTTCTAACTCAATGACTGACATGTTTTCGTGTATGTAGTTCACGCCGTACCTCAGCCGCCTTCGTCAAGGCTGGCGACGCCACAGCCTCCCCTTGCCTTCAATGGGGACCACAAGAGCATCCCATTGTCCTCGACATCTCACCCCGATAACCCTGTTCCTGAAGAACCTCGTGGAGTTCGGGCACTGTCTGTAACCGATATCAATTTCAGTATCTCGTCACCATCTTTGCGCGATACCGAGTCCACCGGTTCCGAATCACCATCGCCTGCCCAGACGCCCGACACAGAAATCTCGTCTGATGCGGAAGAATCCTTGA